TCGCTTTAGGGAAGAAAGGGCTTCTTGGAAGAGATGCCATAAAATACAACTTTATTCTTGTAATTTTATGCTTTTATTCTTGTAATGTTACGACTTTATTCTCGTAATTTTATGACTCTAGTAATGTTACGAATTTATTCTCGTTATTTTATGACCTTATTCCCATTGTGACTTTATTCATGTAATATGCTTTTATTCTTGTAATGTTACGACTTTAATCTCGTAATATTATGACTTTATTCTTGTAATTTGATGACCTTATTATTGTTCAACTTTATTCTCGTAATTTCATGACTTTATTCTCATTGCGACTTTATCCTATTAATTTTATGACTTTATTCATGTTATTTTATGCTTTTATTCTTGTAATGTTATGACTTTAATCTTGAAATTTTGACTCTGTTCTCGTAGTGTTACAACTTTATTATTGTAATTTCATGATTTTTTTCTCATTGCGACTTTATTCTCATAATTTTATGACTTTATTCTCATTGCGACTTTATTCTTGTAATTTTATGACTTTATTCTCATAATATTACGAATTTATTGTCCCGTATACTCCATCATGTGATCAGAACAGAGTGAGTTCTGGTAAAAACTGAGGCGCCCGCTAACCGAGCGGGTCCGGTTCCGGTTCCGGTTCCGGTTCCGGTCAGTCTGAGGCCACACACAGGTAGACCCATTAACAGCTGAAGCACTAACAACAACTTGGGCTGGAAATCTGAGCTGCTTCTCCACACCTGCTTCTTCTTCTTTGGTGTTTTTTTTTTTGGGTTCTTAATCTGTTTCCTGCACAGTTTCGTTCATTTTAACTTGGACCTGCTTCTCAATTTGCTTCTTCTAACATGAGCCCCCCCCCCATAGCAAATTGTTCATAAAGACAAACAAAAGGTGGAATCCCTGAAGACCTGATTAGACGAACCTGGTTACCATAGAAACACAATTCTAGATAGGATGAAAGTAAATTTTCCTAAACATCTGTATAACAGACCAGCGGTTGAATAAAAGATGAGGGGGGGTCATGTCTGATCTGCTGATGGGTTATATAATGACGAGATGTTTTAAAGGAGAACCAGAAGTTGTCCAAATATTCAACCCTGTGGAACACCTTAGGGGGCGGGGGGCGGGGGGGTATGGAGAAGTTTTAATTAGTTTGTTAGATAAATCTGTTCAATCTGAGGACAGAAAATACATTTTATTTTGAAATTAAAATATCGAACAGACAGGAAGTTCCTCTGGTTTTTATTAGCTGCAGTGAAACTTTATTTTTATTTGATTTATTAATGAGCATTTCTTTTGTAACAAACCTGAAATGTATTTTATTTTTAACTAAAGGCATTTTTACTAACATTCATGAGCTTCAAAATAAAAGCTGATGCTTTGGTTAAAAAAACAAAAGAAAACCCCCCCCCCCCAGGGGTCTGATGAGGCCTCCGCTCTGCGCTCGCTGCCTCCATCTTCCTCCTGTCTCGGCTTGCACCTCCTCTTCGCCCTCCCTGCTGCCTTCTATCCGATGTTTTCTGACTCGCTGGAGGAAAATAACTTTTTCTTGTTGTCGATCACAAAAAGGAACTGGTCTGGAAACTTCCCCGGAGATAAAAGCCAGTTGTTCCGTCTTCCCACCACAGCACTCAACAGGTGAATCCTCCTCTTCTTCATCTCTTCCTTCTCCTCTCCCCCTCCCCTCCCCTCCCCTCCTGACTCGTAGAGAGGTTTCCTCTTTCCTCTAGTTTGATGGTTCCAGTCTCTGCTCTGCTCCCTGAGCAGCAGCGGTCAGTGGGAGCTCTGGCCGAGCTCGTTTTTCTGCAGCTGCACAGTGTGGGTCTGTGTGGAGAAGCTGCGTTCAGTTCTGACGCCATGTTTACTGTGTGGAAGATGCTGTTGGAGGACGAGCAGCTTGTTCTGGTGTCTTCCTCCTTTTCAGAGCTCACAGTTTCCTCCTCTTGAACCTCTGTGTTTGTCTCTCGTCCCTCAGGACCAACTCCGACTCAGCCCTCCACACCAGCGTGATGAACCCCCCCATGGGAGACCCCTTCGCCATGGGAGGACCCGCCTTCAACCCTCAGAGCGGCAGACGCAGCGGTGAGGAGGTCCACAAACACCACAGAGAACCAGACATGGCTTCCCGATGCGCCGCCTGGTGTTCAGTCTGTCATCCGTCCCGCTGGACCAGGAGGAGCTTTGGGTCGAAGCCTCGTTAAATTCTCCTCCTCTGTTCCACCGAATGTCCTTTCTCTCTGGCTTGGCCGCTGATGGCAGCAGCTTTAGGCCGTCGGTGCCTTTCAGAAGCGTCCCAGAAGCGCCGGCAATCAGGGGGCTTCTCTAAAATACGCGGCTGCTGTATTTTCGCTGCACCGTTCAGGCAGGAAGTCAGTTGTTTTAAAAGCAAAGTGGAAGTTAACCACTGAAAGACCACATATGCACTGCAAAAAAATGTAAATAAGTCATTTCATCTTAAAAGGAGTGCATTTGTTGTAGAATTGAGGAGGAAAGTGAGACATTTTGCCTTTGGAACAAGACAATTTACATTTAAAATAAGAAAAAAAACTATTGCATTATCTTATTTCAAGTGCATTATTATGCAAATATCTTATTCTAAAAGTGAAAAAACTCATCCCATTGGCAAACTATCTCATTCATCTACTCAAATTAATGATAAGTACACCTAATTTAACAAATTTTATCTGTTTTTTAGATAATTTTTCCCAGTACATGCACTGCAAAAAAAAAAATCCAAGTAATTTTTTCTTAAAATAATTGCATTTGTTCTTGACCGCTTTGCCAATGAAATAGACAAATAACATTTAAAATAAGAAAAACCAATAGTGTCTTATATTAAGTACATATTAACTAATTTCACTTTAAGAGTAGTAATACATATTTACCTGCTCAAATTAAGGATAAATACCCCTAATTTAAGAAATATTGACTTATTTCTATATCGTTTTTACAGTGTGCAGACTGTGGATCATGTTTTCTGGACTGTAAAGCCTATAAACATATAACACTATAAAGTGTCCAGATGCGTGTGTTCAATGCCAGAGAGCGACTTTCCTATATTTGCTGTAAAAAGTAGTTAGAAAGTCCTCCTGAAAACTCATCCAGATTACCATCCTGCCGTCAAATATTAATTCAAATATTATTTCTCTG